AGTTCTTACTGTAGCATCCCCGACGGAATAATGGTCTTGCTCTCTGACCGATGGTTCATCAAGCTTTATTTTCCACACTTCCAAACATACCATGAACGTACCGGAAGAGCTACAATGAAACAAAACGAAAACAAAATATTACATTTCTTTCTTAGTGTAACCTGCCGTAGGCACACTGAGCTAATAGCAACGTAGCGTCTTCTTTAGCGTACACATGCTCATTAAAACTCACAGAAACTATTAAAAAGGGTTCATAATGTCACACAATTTTAAACACAATACGAAATAAAATGTAGACAAACCTTGTGCTCTTATCAGCCAGGTGATAGACTTTTACTGTCGTTACAAAGATGTATTTACGCTGCACACAACACTGTTGGGTTTCACTCACACTACCGAAAATGGACCCCTTTCAAAATTAAAACGTCCACCTCTACCTTTTTAACTTCCTGGTCTTTGCCTTTCAAAATAAGAGCATTTAAAATTCAACTAACAAAATAAAAGCAAATTATAATAGAATGTGGTGGAGGTCATTTGCAGATAACTGTAATCCTGACTGTCCACATTGAAACTGTGCTGATTGCATAGATCGTCTGTGCTGTCAGGGGGAAGATGTGTGTGAAGCATCCATGTTTTCACAGACATGGATTTAAACTGTAAGTGCAACTTTAGCAGAGCATGCGAAGGCATACAACCGTGAGGCAATAATTCTATTTTTTTTTCCCCCTGTTTACAGCAATTTAGTCAAAGATCATTAGTTTTTTATAACCAGAAATGTTTTATTTATACTTTCTGGTCTAATTTAACTAAAAGTTAATTACGTACACCCTTACATGTTGAAGGAAGAGTGTGTGATTGCAGTTCCACAATAGTTTGTTGTATGTATTTTAAATTCACCAGCTTTCAATTTATAGTTTCTTTTGCGCTCGACTGCTTCCAAGACATGCAAGACATGTCTTAAATAGCTCAGCATTAAAAGATATTTAGTGTTGCTCATTTTAAAGCAAGGATTATCATAAAACTTTCCTTAATTTAAAAATGAGGAAAGAAAAAGCCCAAGTGATATATTTACAAGAAATGCATTTATCTCGGCAAGAACATGATAAACTGAGGAAATTTGGATTTAAAAACACCTTCTTCAGTTCATTTAAGAAGGGTCCAAAGAGAGGAGTTGCTATATTAATTTCCACCTCTGTCAATTTTGAAGTCATTAAAGAAATAGGCGACAAAGAGGGGAGGTATGTAATTGTAAAAGGGAAAATGGTCAATGTTTATGTGCCACCTAATTCTGGTAGAAAGTTTTTGAAATTAGTGTTTGAAATTATAGCCTTGGAAAATGAAGGAATTGTAATATGTGCAGGAGATTTTAACATGATTCTGAATGCTAAACTGGACACAACTAATAACAAGAGAAATAAGACTCATCCGTCAAAGCTTGTCAGTACCGCTCTAACTGAACTCAGGATGTTTGATGTTTGGAGGGAACTACATCCATTGGAGAGGGACTACACACATTATTCTGCTCCACACTCTGTGTACTCCAGAATAGATTATTTTTTTATGAACAGAAGAAGAAGTTAAGAAAGATATTAAATGCTGCAAAGAAGAAAACAAAGACAGTCCAGTTGACTTTACCATACTATGGGACACGGTCAAAGCTGTAATGAGAGGGAGGTTAACAGCATCAAAAAAAAGATTAGAGAGGAAGATTATAAAAAGTTGGCTAAACAATTAAAAATATTAGAGCAACAACATAAAAACAATAAGGATGAATCAGTTTTACAACAAATAATCAGTGTAAGACGACAGATTGATGACATCCTAAGCAATGAGATTGAGAAAAAACTAAAATTCATGAAACAAACCTACTACGAATCAGAACCCAAACCAACTAAATATAAATTAAATTTGGCAACACGACTCAAGGTCCAGCAAACCTCTAATACCATACATAAGATTAGAGACCCCGCAACAAAACAACTATTATTTGAACCTGAAGAAAAGTTTTTAAAGACTATTATGAAAACTTATATTTCCCAGCCCACAACTAAAGAAGAGTATGAAATGAAAGAATTCCAGGATTTATTAGACTTGCCAACTATTGGAGAAGAACAGAACAGGAAGTTAATTTCCAACATCACTAAGAAGGAACTAGATGCTGCAATTAGCAGATAACCAGGTAGTGATGGATTTCCCAGCGAGTGGTATAAAATATTCAAGGAAGAATTAACTCCACTACTCCTGAGTTCTTTTAATCAGACTCTGACTGAGGGGAAACTGCCTCCCTCCTGGAAAGAGGCAATAATTTCCCTTATACCAAAGGAAGGGAAAAACAAGGAATATTGTGAATCATATAGACCTATCTCAATCCTGAATGTGGATTACAAGATTTTTACTTGAATAATCTCTAAAAGATTTGAAAATGTTATGACTGACTTGATTGATGAAGATCAATCAGGCTTTATAACAGGTAGGCAGACTCAGGATAATGGTAGGCGTACCCTACACATAATAGACCAGATGCAAAAACAGGGATTGAGAGCAGTATTAGTGAGCCTCGACGCATAGAAGGCTTTTGACTGTGTCAATTGGAGATTTCTATATCAGGTACTGGGGAGACTAGGGATTAAAATAACAATCAATACAATGTATTCAAAGCCTCTATCAAGAACCTACAGCAAGGATTAAAATTAATGGACATCTAACTGATAGATTTGTTTAACAGCGAGGGACCCGCCAAGGATGCTGCCTTTGCCCTACCTTGTTTGCAATATTTATTGAACCGTTGGCACAAATGATCAGTCAGAGCAACAATTTAAAAGGAATCCAAATAGGAGAAGAGGAACATATTATAGGGCTTTTCGCAAACGATGTTATTGTGACTCTTCAAGACCCGGACAGAACTTTTCCTAAACTGACATCGACATTAGAGGACTATGGTGAATACTCAGGCTATAAATTAAACATAGCAAAAACACAAATTCTCACATTAAATTATTCTCCAGGCCAAGAAGTTAAAGAAAAAGACAATGGAATGCTAAAGTGATCAAATATCTGGGTGTGATACTGGCAAAAAAATCTCAATAAAACATTCGAAATAAATTGTAATCAGATTAATAACAATATAAAGACAGATATCAGGCGGTGGTCAGCTTTCAACATGGATTTCGAGACACGAATTGAGGTTATAAAAATGAATGTATTACCAAGATTGTTATACCTTTTTCAATCCATCCCACAAATGATACCAGAGACACAATTTAGACACTGGGACAAACTTATATCTAGATTTATCTGGGCTGGGCAGAAACCAGGGGTCAGGTATAAGACATTTCAATTACAAAAAGAGGTCGGGATGTCCCTGCCCAACCTGAAACAATACTTTTATGCAGCTCAAGGGAGGTTCCTCGTTTGTACATGCTGCCCTCTATATCAGGCAAAATGGAAAGATATAGAGGGCAAGATAGATACTTTCCATATTCAAGCAACACTAGGAGACATAGGAAATAAAATGTCTCAACAAAGCAGTAATTAAATTATTAAACAAACAATGGATATTTGGAGTAAAATGGTGAAAGAATACAATATGGAAGGGGACATCAAATTATTAATCTGGCCTGCTCTAGATCCCAAATTTAAACCAGGAGTCAGTGATGTTGGTTTCTGACAGTGGTGGGACAAGGGCATTACAGCAGTATGTACACTAACTCACAGTGGATTCTTAAAAAGTTTTGGGGAATTACAAAAGGAATTTGGACTTGAAAACAACTTGACTTTTTCAGATACCTACAAATAAGAGATTACTATGATAAAAAAATAAAACCAACATTGTCTAGAGAGGTTAATGCAGTGATAGATATTCTGACTGAAGCCTATAAAAAGAAGAATAAAAAAACTATCTCGAAAATATATCAGGGCCTTCAGAAACAGGACAGAAACAACACAGATTATATTAAAGTAAAATGGGAGAAAGAACTAAACATAGAAATATCACAGGAGGACTGGCGTTCAATGTGGAATGCACAGCATTCATCCACAAGTTCAAAGAAGTGGAGAATATTTGGTTGGAAAAATTTGATCCGCTACTTTATTACACCACATATAAAAAGCAAATTATCTCAATCACAGGAACAGTGCTGGAGGCAGTGCGGAAACTTGAACGCTGATCACTCCCATATCTTCTGGTTATGCCCAAAAATCCAAACTTTCTGGGAAAATATATGTCTAACTGTGGGAAAGATTTTGGGATATAAGATTCCTAATGATGTTAAAGTTTTGTATTTCTGTGCTTTGAAAGATGATGTGATTAAAAAGAAAGACTGGTATCTTTGCAAAATACTGCTAATGGCCTGTAAAAAAAAAAAACAATCACAAAGAACTGGTATAAACCTGAGACCCCAAGTCTCAGTCTGTGGATGGACAGAGTTAAAGAAATCTATGCAATGGAAAAGATGACTTTCTGTCTGAGGTCCAGAGGAGCAATCTTCCACAGGAAATGGGAGAAATGGTCTACATTAGAGGAATAGAGGGTGCTATCAATTAAACAAGACATTTGAAATCATTGCATCATGCATCATAATATTGCCAACAGAGGAGCCCCCATGTTTTTGTAAACTGTATGTTTGTTTGTTTGTTCATTTGTTTGTTATATCTTAAGCTGAAAATACTAAATAAAAAGTATCAAACATTTTTTTAATAATAATACATTTCTTAATAATTTAAGAATTCATTCACCACTTTGTCAGCTGTGGACAGTTGTCCTGCTGAGGACAACATTAGTTTGGATCTCTGAGGCCAGGCACAAGAGCTCCTAATGATGCTGTGGTGAATCCTTTGTAGAGTGTCTAATTTAAACCAGAGGTGCAGGTCACCCTGAGATCCTTGAGTGTTTGGATTGATTTTTAATTTCACTAATTACTGTCTCATCAATGAATAATAAATAAGTGAAGTTCTTTGCTAAGTTAGCTATGGTGTTGTTTTCCTCCCCTTGTTCCCAACAGATCCTAAAGTCACTGTTCCCTCAGTGGGCTGTTTTATCAGTGCGGTACTTCATCATGAAGAGCAGCAATGTCAGGAACATAGACATTTCTCAGCAGAAAGGGATCTGGTCCACCACACCAAGCAATGAGAACAAACTCACCAAGGCCTTCATGGAGAATAACCTCATCATCCTCATCTTCTCTGTTCAGGGCTCTGGACACTTCCAGGTAACACTCTGACGGATGGCAAAACAAATGCTATATGTAGTTTAATTGCTGTTATCACAGTTTAGACCATATGTACTGAATCTTGACCCCACTATAACAGTGCAGTACAAATAATAGGGGTGTGAACAAGCAGCAACCTCCAGGACTGACAAGTAAAGCCAATGCGGAAGTGCCAAAATCTGCATTTCATTGGCTGTCTCCAAAATAGAGCTAATCCCCATGGACTCCCATTTTAAAATGCCCAACTTTACAGCTAAAATGAATATATTTACAGCCCGGTACAAAAGGCGGTTTTGATCTTTGGCTATTCTCTATCTATCTATGGCTTATTTCATCATTCATGACAACTGTATGGGGTGAATTTTTTATTACGATCACATTTAAATGTCATTAAAGCTTAAGTTCTGCATAATTAAGGGCATGGCCACATTGACTGACTGGCTGTCAGCTAGGCCTCACATCAGGCCACTCAACTTAACCTCCTTGCCATGTTTTGAGGTGCTGGAGCTGGCTGGCCAGAGGGGAGATCTTTTTTGCAAATACTGGACGAATAATATGGCTTGCTGTGCAGATAATTGTACCAACTGACCGCCGAAGACACCAGTGCTCCAGTTATTCTGTGAGTGACATTCTATTATCATGGTATTTAAATGTTAGAGCAAATTAGCATGTATTGTTGTATGTCTGGCTTGTTAGCTTGTTAGTTATCTTGCTATCTAGCTATAGCAAATAAAGCTCCACCACGTTAACATTAGTTGGGTAAGTAAGCTAAAGCTTACTTAAAGCTATGGAAGTGATATACTTGCCATACGGGGGCAATGTAATGTTGAGATTAATGCTAGACTTGGGTAGGTAACAGTTATGTTACGTTAAAATGTTGCAGACTGTGTGCAATTACAATAAAGTGTATGTGTATAACTTAAAAAATATCAATAGTCACGTTTAATGTGGTTCAGAAATAACGTTATTCCAACTAAATGTTGCATCTTTGGTTAAGCTGGAGTTGGTTATTGAGGCTTTACGGCAAGTTAACAAACTTTGATGATCCACAAACAAAAGTTGTTATTTTTATTAATATTATTGCTAAAACAGGCGACTGATTGTGATTGGCTGTTGGCTGAAAAGTCGAGAGGTTGTCTGCTGCGTTCAGTTCAGTACACTTACGGAACTTAATCGTGTGTTACATAAGTAAATGTGGTATGACAAAATTGGTGGGGGGGTTGATGTGAAATTATGACAACTTAAAACTGAATGTTTTCATAAATACACTATTTGTTCACTACACAACTGTAGCACAACTATATACACAACAGTAGCCTAATCTTCTGGCACAGTTTGCAGCCTGGCTGCATCAAACTTAACCTTGTCTCTCACCCTTTTCTCTCCCTCTACTTCCGACTGTCGTCTCTTTGCCTCCCCTCCACTCTTGAGCGCGCCGTAGTACAGCCAGACAGGCAGGGTTTTTTTTTTTAAATAAAGCTAATTGCAGCGTAGTGTCACATAACATTTCATGATATTTAAATTATCATTTCAAACTCTGATTATGGTAAGTATACGTGCGCAAATATAGGCTCTCTCTCTCTCTCTCTCTATACATATATATATATATATATATATATACATATATATATACAGT